GGGGGGGGGGGGGGGGGGGTTACAAGTTAACTTTCCTGAGGGGGTAAAATTCTAAGTAGCTCAATGGGAGGCTGGGGGCGGGGCAGATGTTAAATAGAATGGCCCAAGGCATGTACTGTATCATAACCCGGGTTGTCACTAAGCGTCGGCTGCCGGCAAAATTCGCCGGACAACAAATGGTTTTTAGGTTACACACATACAATCATTCGATATCTGAACCATATTGAATTGTCTACATGTAAATGAAAAGTTTGGAATAAACTCCTGACTACCTTGAGTATCGATGCCACTATAACAAGTAAAGTAATTGAAATAAAATCTTGTTTTGAGCACATGTTCAGCGTGTTCTCTATCCATGTACTGGGCCCGCCATCTTCTAACCAGGAAGCTCAGTAGCCCGGCAGTAGCCCCGCATTCAAGGTGTTGTGAAAGATTGGGGAAAAAATTTTGTTCCAGGTCTCTCACGAAAAATGGTGACCAGCTGAATGAAAATGTTAGCCAGGAGACTATTTTCTTAGCTACGACCCTGCATAACATCTGAACTTGCATACAGTGTACACGTTTGCACAGTAATCAAGCAGTTACAGTGCTTAAGAGCACTGGTTTACATTTTATAAGAGCAAAAAGCACGCACTATTTTAATATGTATAACTGAAAAGTCTACTTACGTGGAGATAAACTTAGTTGTTCTGGACTAAGCTGGTAAATGATTTCGCTACCAGAACCCTGGGCTTGAGGTGACCCTTGCTTTGAGGAGGTTCTCGATTCGCGTCGAGCGGAAGCCAAAGGGCTAGACTTTCCTTCTGGCGATCCATTTCGTTCCTCTCCGGGTGTATCGTCCTTTTCTATTCGCCTCCGTTTCTCTTGTAGAATCTCATCTAGTGACTTAATTTTGAAATCTTCCGGCGTTCGATTGCCGCCGTCATCTGCATCAATAGAGACCTTACGCAACAGGACGGTTCGATGTGGACGGCGACCTCAGATCGCGCGAGGACTGGGCTG